TCGCTACATCAAGTTATTCAATACAACTGATAAGGATGATTTTGATTATCAACCTAACACAGTTAGATGTTCAACTATTTATAAATGATTTTTCTTTATTTTTTTCCACCTAATAAATATTGTCTTGATTCCATAGTGCGGACATTTTTTTCTCTCCTCCACCCGATTCTGCTTTACGGACATTTCCCCTCTGGGCCTATTTTTGTCTCTTCCCCACCCCCTGTTTCTACTTTGCGGACATTTTCTCTTAATTGTTGGAAAAAAATGTCCGCAATCAAGCTGTAGCCACTAACTCTTATTGTCAATGCCTCTACAAAGTTTCTGTTACTGCATTTCTTTCAAATTCGAAATTTTCCATAAATGCAATCCATCAGCTCAACGAATAGCAGTGCCCCTTGCAATTCTTTTGCTGATAAAAAACATTGTTGATAGTTTCTAGCTCATTGACTATTGAATAAAAGTATGTGTGAAAAAATATTGTTTTGTTCAAACGTGTTTGAATTTTGTTTCTACAATAATTTCATTTTAAACACACACTGCAAGACAATTGAAAACACCCATTATTATCGATCAGTGTTGATGGAGCTGAATTATTTGTAATCTAGATTTTTGGCTGCAAATGTCTTTTTTTTTCATATTCATCTTTATTTTTATACTGATCGACGTCAAATCAATCCTATTAACATTGTATATATAAAAATCTGATATTTCTTTGGTTTTTCTGCTTGGTACCTTGAAATTTAACAGACGGTTATTAATCTACATATATACGTATGTAGGTGAATATAAAAGGTAGTATTCTTATTAAAGGGAGATTCTTTTCATAAACAAGTACAAAACAAGAATGCGGCAATAAGAAAAAAAGCTAATTAGTATCTGAATATCCTACTAATAAAATTTATTTTAAATGCTGAAACAGTGCCTGGGTAACTCAAGGCAGATTCATGATTGTTACTTGTATGTTAACCCATGTACTGAAAAGAAATGAGAACATGCAACTCGTCAAGTATGCCAGATTCGAGTTCAAACATATTGAGTTGGCGAGCCGCTGCTGCAGAGAAAAAACACTTCTGAATATTTGTTGTTGTTCAGCACGTACGACGAGGCGTGAAAAATCTAAGTATTCAATTTTAGAATATCTCGAATCTATCAGTCATAGGTGTGTGCCAAATTAATTATGAAATACTCCAGATGTCAATAAACTTTGAAATGAATTGAAAAATACACGTACGTTCTATATGACAGAATGAAGAAAGAAAGTAATATCTTGTGAAAAATCTGATAAAAATAATTTCATTATATTTTTGACTTATCATATATCTATTTCTGGATGATAATAATTACTGGATCATCGTTAATCAATTTCGAAAATCATTGAAACTAAATAATTGTTAATAATCAGCGCATATCAATTCAAAGCAACTGCCACATACTTGTACAAGAACCAAACAAAAATAACTGAATGAATTAATGGTGCATAAGGAGCACTCACCGACAAATTTAGTGTCCACAGTATAGTGTATATATTTGATTTGCATTTCAGAATATGCGTTAATAATCGACCAAATATACAGTAAACATTGTCAATCTGGGCGAATGCTATCGGGTATCAGCTTTATTCATGTTTTCACAGCAACCAGAGAATATCTATGAACACTTGATACGCTACTTTATCATTCGTTTAACAAATTCATTCAAAACCAACATTCATTACTTAGTAATGAACATGATTTGCTCACTATCACAAATATTTCGTTCGTTATCTAAACAGGAAATTAAAAAAAAGGCCCAATGTAAATGTGAGCATGCCTGCAGATGTGATCACTATTTAAAATAGAATCTCACAATTTTCAGTAGATGTTTTTCATGATAATCAAGATATCGATTTCTATTTCGAATGAAGAAATAGATGTTCATTGTTTCTCTAATGAATGTTTTAAAACTCTAAACTAAATTTCTCACTAAAATGAATTGTACAACAAAATACTATACAGTCCATATTGGGCTATCATACATAGCATGTTAATAAAAATAATGAAGACATAATAATAAAAACAAGCGACAACAAAAAGCAGAATTTTTTTGATCGCGGGTGTACGCAGCCATATATAACAGTTATTTGGGACTATTCTCTTGACGGAAATCATTGTGGCAACGTGCTGTTTGCTTATATGAGAAATTGTTATGAATGGCATAAAAAAATATTGATAGATCATTCAATTCGATGAAAGCAAGTTTTCTTTTTCGAAGTAATTATTCACCTAAACTAAGTCAACATTTAGCTTTTTGGCGTAAGTGTGGGCCGGAGAAATTACAGCAGCATTCTCATTTATTGAAATATTACTCATAGTGTTGACTTTTTTGTGTAATAAAAGCATGTTGTTAGATTCAGTTAAATTACAAATGTAAATACAACAATACTTTATTCGGTAAAATGAAAAAAAATGCATTCATTAAAAACTGAACAAAAGCATTTCTCTCAAGTTTATTGTGTAAAGTTGAAAAGTTTTTAAAGTGCCTATCTATCAAAAAAACCTTTCCCTAGAACAGCATCATAGGTAAATATTTTTACAACTATATGTTGTTATTTAACGCGACACTGCATGATAAATTTCCACGCATATCAAATACAATTTCTATTAATTATATTAGTTTGATTTAGTTTTCTTTCACATGCATACATACATACATTAATAGAGTAAAATGAATAACAACAAAAAAACATTCTTGATCATTGATTGACTATTTATTTTGTTTTGTATGCTTCAGTAAAATCACAAAATCGCAATAATTTCTCTTGTTGAACATCCATTGCCACTTGATGACATACGAAAGGACTGTCCCAATAGTACTTTCATTTAATCGAGTTGATCATAAAGTCTAAGAAATCACAGCTTTAGAACCAATTGGACTCATCATCGTTAAAGTGGTCATGTTTTTTTTTCGTCTTATTACAGAAGTAAAAACTAAATAATTTATTCCTATTTTATCAGTCTAGAAAATGATATATAAATATTCATCATCATATAAATCAATGTTTATTATAGAAACTTTTATGTAATATCACGCTTTTTTGTAAAATAAATTCAAATAGATTTTTCGTATGCATAGCATTCGTCGTCTACAAACATTTAAATTAGCTTTGATCTAGAGAGACCTTTTAAGTTATCGAATGCCTGTTGTATGTGTTCAAATTATACAAACTCTAATTTTTCTTGTTCAAATGAAAAGACAATCTTTCTAAGCACTCTTCTCTTATTTATTTCTCGAAGTGGAAGAACGAAAAAGTTCAACTAGATTATTTGCGAAAGAGTTGAGTACATTCATTGATTTTCTGCATAACATAAACGACAAATCAGTATTTATTCATTATGTTGCTATTTTTTATGGTAAACTTCATTTTTCTAATTACAATAATCGAACCCAAAATCATAGAAATTCCAATTCGACTCATGACTTACAATGTAATGCGTGGTCGTTATAATTGTTATGAAGAAAATTTAAAAGCAAATGAAGATTTTCGTCGCTCAACCAATATAAATTATTTTTATAATCGAGCTGATTTTGTTCGAACGAATTTAGCCACAATAGCTAATCATATTCGTCAATACGATCCTGATATTATTGCTTTACAAGAAGTACAAGAATCTCCATCGTCAATGTCAATTCATAATGAAATATCAACAGCAACTTATCTAGCACAACAACTTGATATGACATTCACATTCAGTCCGACTTTATTTGACAATGAAGTACAAATGCAATATGGTACAGCCATACTTGTAAACCATCATAAATTTCGTATAATATCAGTGGAAATTCTTTATTTACCGCTTGGCCTTGAACCACGGAACTCACCATGCTTAACAATTCAATCTCGACATGCAAATATTACATTTCGAGCATGTTCTATTCATTTTGATCATCATGCAACTGATAATAGAATACGTCTACAACAGGCAATTAAAGTTATCAATTGGTTAAATAAAGGGCAATATTATCCGACAACATTACTAGGTGATTTTAATGCTAATAAGACTTCGACAACATTAACAAATTTATATGAATTTTTTCTTGATGATTATTCACAAGACAATTCACTTCCAACATGGTCTGAATGTGGTGAAAAGCTACAAGATAAGCTCGATTATATCTTATTAGATAGAAAATCTCATTGGACAATAAAAAATGTTATACATGGATTAAATATGAAAAAATTATATCCATCCATCGACATAGCAATGCTCTCTGATCATGTACCACTTTTTGTTGAAACTAGTTTAAGCATTTCAGTAAAATAGACTGAAGATTTCTGTTTTCAAATATTTCATTTGATGTTGTTTATTTCATAATTAATAAATGTCAATTTCAGTTGTCTTAAGTATTTGATTTATTTCTTCAAAATAAGTCAGAACTATCATGTTTGTCGGTTTATCACTAACTATTACTATACCAACAAAAAGTCATTTTACTTTCAGAGCTTTATTTTTTTATGCAAGAAAATGATTTATCTTTTGAAAAAAAAATTCTCATTAAACATTTACATAGATATATAGATGTATGCATACTTTAAATTACTTTAGAACGCAAAATATTTTCCAAATATTTTCTTTTTTGCGTTCTTTATCAAATATATAATTAGTCTTGGAAATATATATTCACCATATGTTACAAAAAAAAGTGATATATATATACTGATAAAAAAAAAACCATAATAGTTATGCTAGTATCAAGCAAATTTTCATAACTTTTTTCTTTGTTTGTTTTAGAGAGCTACGTCAAATATAAAGAATATATTATTTGGACTAAAGTAAGTGTATTTCAACATAGTTTTATTCGAGGCACATATCATAAAAAGAAATTCCTTCTATTATTTTCTTGCCAAAACAAGTCTTTACCGCCTACGCATCTGTCATGTTCGAGGGCGTGCCAGTAGTAGTGGTAGAAAGAAAAAGAGAAGAAAAAAACTGGGGAGAGGCACGTAGGTTTATATTCTTCTTGTCAAGAAAAGAAGAGACGCACAGAAGAACGGAAGAACAAATAGGAGGTATATTCTGTTTTTGTTTCGCGCGTGTTTCTACCCTACTCTTATTTTCACCTTTTCCCTCCGTTAAAAGCTCGACGTTGTTGCTCCCATCATCGATAATATTGCTGCTACTCCTACTAGATCGATGACATCAACAACGAAAGCAGGAAAAGTAATAGCAACACTAAGACGAATCGATGTCAAAGTAATTTAATTGTTCTTTTTTTCTCAGCCGTGATTATCTATTGTGTCAATTCTACCCTCGATATAGAGAAGCGTATTCATGCGAATGTGCTCTTTTCCTCAATTTCAACGATGATAAAAAAAAAGAGAAAATATTTTGTTTTTAATTACTTTCCATTTTAAACCTAAAATCTCTTACATCTGTGCGACATTCTATGGTTACAATTACAATTGGAACGTTAACACGTATGTTAGAACATAAAAAATTGTTTTCTAGCAAATCATTTTATCAAATCATATTAATAGGTAATTTAGTTATAAAGAAACAAGGAACAAAAACAATACAATAAAAAAGAATTTGTTTGCTGATTTTCAATGTCAGCTGAGTTTGTTCCTCTCGTGATATAAATAATCTAAAATGAATACATTGTTAATATTTTTTCCTTAGAAAAAAATTTGATTCTGTTTTGTTTTTATGATCAAAATAACGGACAATAAGTTAAAAGGCAGTTACTTTGTTGAGATAAGAATATGATATATTTGCCAAGTTCTTTTTATTTTATTTCTGCCACCACCTCTATATTATCACGATATTTACTATTTACTCGTTTCTGTGTATAATCCACTCCAACGTTTTATTCTTCTTCTTCTTCTTCTTCTTCTTTGTTTTTCATTTCTGTCGAATTTGACAGCATTCAATTGACTCATACTATTAAAAAATATAACATCGATGATGCATAAATTTTTCTTTATCGTTCTTTTCTTCGATATAAAATGTTTTCCTTCGTATACTATTTCCTATAGACGACTACCAAATAGCCAACGAATATCCATTTCTTTACCTTTTTTTCACCTTTAAATTGTATTTGTGTTTTGGTGTCACAGTAATAAAATACGTGAGTCATTTAACTTTCTTTTTTTTTTAGTTTTTAAGTCTATTTACACATGGCACACGTTGAACAGACCTTTTCATTTTCTTAATATTCATAATGGCAGCTCATATCTATCAGACGACATTAACATATAGAGTGTATATACATGCATTTGGTCATTTTTTTATTATTTTTTCTCACTCGGTGATAAATACTTAGTTATATCTGTTAGAGTTGACATCATGCCTAACTATTGATGTTAAGAGTCTCTCGAGAAAAATAATCTAAAATCAACTTGATTCGAAACTGAAAGTCAGCGACTAAAAGATACTATCGTCAGTTGCATAATCTTGACAATTTTCAAAATTAAATGTAAATTTAATAAAAATATCTAAATTACAATAGATTATTTTTTTGATTAAGATTTGAGTCACATACTTAGCAAATAAATAATTTTTGTTTTGCCTGACAAAATAATAGTGGACATGACTTTACAAAAAGTAAAAATATTGGGCGAATGGCTAGAGTACAAATAATGACGACAACATCCGTTAGATGAAAGAAATAATCTGTCATTAAATCAAGATTATCGGTAAATATTAGAGGAAATTTTATGGTCACGCGTTTATCATTTAAACTACGCAGTTTTATTAAATAGTTTTAGTCGTTAAAAGTTTTTTTTTCTTTTAACCCCTGTCTAGTTCAACCAAGTAGATATTTTATTTCTTATTTTAACTAGAGATATAATATAATAATTAAAAATAAAAGCAGGTCAATTTTCCCATTTTAATCTTGAATTCCCACCTACTTTTAGTTCGTTTTATAGCGAAAAATAAATAAATTCTTGAAAAAGATCAGAGCATAGATTAAATCTGGCGCGTGATAAAAACACTATGTACCTTTTCTTTTTGAAGTACTGAATTAAGTACTCGGAATACATAAATGCGAACAAAAATATGCGACTATCATGATGTTAATTTAGATAATTTGGATCAAGCGGAAGTTGTCTAAGTCATTTTCACTCGTGATGGAATTGAATAGATGAAATATTTAGTGTATATATCTACTTTATAACTTTTGAGAGTCTACGTTGTTTCATTCATTAACATGGACATAATTCACTAAAAATAGAATTTTCGAATGCAAATGTGTTCTTCGGCATTATGTTTACTAGTTCGTTCGCCCACCCGTAACTATCATCATTGGGCTAATATTTGTTATTTCCTAGATCCTTCGTCTTTTTTCTTCTTTTTGCCATCGTCAACTCATCATCTTTTTCTTCTTTTTCTTCTTCTTCTTCTTCTTCTTCTCTTCAGCACAAATATACATTCTCATCGTTCGCATAAAAAAAGGATGCTATCAACGTTTGTGCTTGTGGAACAACTCTTCTTTTATTCTTTTCCTTCTTCTCGTATGAATACATGCGCGTTCTGAGACAAAGAAAAACTCAGCGATAAAATGAAAATGACATTGGTACGCGAACGTTAACTAGCAATATGCGACAAAAATACACAGATTAATTGAAAATATACATAATATTTCTATAGTTTGCTACTTTTTATTAACAACAGAAACAAATCTAATTTAAAAATTTTCAATTTGTTTTAGATAAAAACTGTAATTGAATGTGCAAAATTATTATCAATGTGACACATTGTCTACACGACTATGCGCATTCCAGCTGCATCGACATCATCTAAAAGTTTAAGTAATTCTGCTATTATATCTTCAATGCATTCATCAAAACAAAATTCTTCTGTTGACGAACAACAAGAATTTTCATCGGACATTGATAATGTTAAAATTGGAGTACGAGCAAATACTCCATCAAGTATAACTGGTAATCGTTCTGACATTGATTCACCTGTTCGTAGTTATGCACTTATTGAAACTGATCCCAATGAACTTGATCGTATTATTGATGTTTTACGACAATTTTTTCCTAATACACGCATTGTTGAGTGCAATAGTGCTTCATCAAATCCAAGTCGTACACCAAGCCGTTCATCATTAGCAACAGCACCACAACAGACATCAATTGAATCCAATAGTAGTTTGCGTGCTCCAACATCACTAGCGAATCGTTATGCATTACAAAGTCGTAGCTTATCCGAAAAATCATCATTTGATAGTGATATTTTACAGATTGCAGCAATAAGCACATCGGACAATTCAAATAGTTATCCAAATGATCTATTGTCATCGAATTCAAATTCTCAAGTAATTAAAATCATATTGAAAGATAAACTTTGTTTTTTAATGATTATTTTTTATTTTATTTTAGGCATTCAAAGGTAAAGTGAAAGATTATTTACAACGTCGTTACTTAGAACAAATTAATGAACATCAAGCACGTAAAGAAACATTCTTAAAATGTCGCAGTGATGAATCAAATTATGATTGTATAAAAAGTGAACCATCATCAACGCTGGTTCAAAGTTGTGAACACATATCAAACCAAGACAATAATTATCATCGTGAACATCATTATCATCATTATCATCATAATCGTCATCATACTTTGTTAAATTCTTCTTCAACACCATCAACAATACATAAATCAAATACAACAGTAAAAGCTCGTTCATTTGATTCATCAACTGCTTTACTTCAACATTCTGTATCGGATACAAATTTATGTTGTGCCGTAAGTGCATCAGGTACAAATTTTATTCAATCACAAACTGGAAATATTATACGCTCACAAAGTAAACGTGGTTTATTGCAACGTTGTGAAACTATCGATATGGAAGATGCACCAACAACGAATGTCGATGATGAACATATGAAATCATTACCAACATCACCCATTACTATTGAAAAACTAGATGCCGGTAAAATTACATTTAGTATTGATCGACCTGATGATGAGGATGATGATAATGATGATGATGATGATAATGATGACGATGTCGATAATAATAATCATCATCATCATCACACTAGATCTCAGCCTATTCCACCAATTATTCGACACGAAGAAAATTCTCTTCGATTTCGACATTCATATTCAGAACAAAAAGCTACCGATGAATCAACTAATAAGAATAGTTTATTTGTACCTTTTCGACATTCATTTGAACAACAAAATGAAAAACGAACATATTCAACAGGTTTAACAACAATGCCATGTACAAACAATGTACCCTTACCGATTGCACCTTATTCAGCATCAAGTGATCCCGGTCCATATCTTTCACCATGGGCTCATACTCCAACAAATCCGTATAGTTTAGCGAATTTTCATTTTCCAAAAAGTCAAAAAAATGCTGTTGCGAACGCGCAAGGTACTATTGCTCAGTTATCAACATTAACACAGTTTTTATGCGATGAACCAAGCGTATTTACATCAATAAGTCCAAGGTAGAAAAAAAAAGCCATACTTGATGATAGTAATTTGTCTATACTTACATTTCATTTAATTAGATTTAAAACAGAAGCACAAGATTCCAATAATATGCAAAATCCATTGTCCGTACCACCATGCCAGATTTGTAGACAACAATTTGAATCAAGACAAACGTAATGATACATAGCTATTATTCAAAACAAATAAATCATTGTTTTTTTATTTAACTATTTTTCTAGATATTTAGCACATTATCGTTCACATCTTGAAAATTCAGGTGAAGATGATAAATCAGGTGTAATTGATTTTAATCTTCTTGATACCAATGGTACGCGTTCTGGTGAACCACGTAATTATTCATGTAAAATATGTTCAAAACGTTTCTCCAGGTAGATTTTTCTTGTTTGTTTTCCGAAATATTTTTCTAAATTGAACATCTATTTCATTGGCTCATTTTAGAAGTGATATGTTAAATAGACATTTACGCTTACATTCTGGTATTCGTCCATATCGTTGTACAATGTGTAATACACATTTCTCTCGTAGTGATCATTTATCAACACACTTACGTACACATACCGGTGAGAAGCCTTATGTGTGTCCTGAATGTTCTTATGCTGCTTGTCGACGAGATATGATTACAAGACACTTAAAAGTCCATTCAAAACAGCGACCTGAACGAAAAAATGCCACGTCAGGTTTAGGTTCAAGCAATGAATCGTGAAATAACAACAACAACAATTAGATGCTATTCGTTCAAAGAACTTAAAAATATTTCGTTTCTAGTCATTTATCGTGTTCGAATTGTTTGCTTTTGCGGATGACATGTAGAGATGATTGGCACTGGCGTCTTAATTCTTGTTTAAGGTACTATTATTCAAACGAAAACCCGGTTCATGTCTTATATTTATTTTTCTTCTGTTTTTGTCACTGAATTTTTTGTATACAGAAAAACCAAAAGAAAACAAATGAATATTCTGAAGCTTTTAAATCTGTGTAGATAAAACCTTATGAAATAGCGCAATCTGTTTATTGATGTGGAAATGAAGATAAGAAAATAGTGCCATGATTATTTATTTGATGCTCAAATAAAGCCGTAGAAAATATATGGAGAAAACTTGCACTATTAATCGAAATGAATAAAGATAAAAGAGTCTCTGGTGTTTGTCTATCAATATCTAATGATGATATTCTACTTAGTTTTGTTCTGCACTCGCAGTGCACTTATTAAAATGATCATATTCACCAGTGAATTGGCAAATTATTTATTTTCTCTTCTTCGTTATAGAATGAAAAAGCACAAGTAGTATTGTTTTTTAATTAAAAGAGCTAAAAGAAGAAGATCGCTTGGTACGAAGAATATTACTTCAAATATTTTGACTGGACATAATATAATTAAACATAAACAAAATTTATTAGTTTCTTTTAATGATCATTATTGATGAAATGGTCTATGTTTCATTGTTAAGATCCATTAAATTATATTAAAAAAGCAATGATTTATCTAAAATTTTCTTTATTAGCCATCTAGTTTGCATGCGCTTAAATCTGTTATAAAATTACTAAAATGTTGAAAGACATAATGATAATATTAAGATATATTAACTATTTTTTGCGTTTGACATTGTCCGTGTTCTCTTTAAATGACACAGTAGATGGTTGTACTCTTGCCCATCTGTTATTTGAGTGCATACATTCAACGCATGCTTTGTATATACATATGCAGAGAAAATATAAACAACAAGAATGAAAGGTTATTGACGTCATAATGTTGTTGACATTCATTGATGGTAGAAGATATTTCAACTTCATTATTTGGTACGTTCTTTTTCTTCGCAAAAATCTATTGAATTCTTTTCCCTTTGTTTTATTTCATCAGAAAATACTGTACATCACGAGTGAATAAGAAAATATTAAAAAAAAATCAAGCATCATAAAACTTATTCTAATCATCATTTTGTTGTACTTCATCAGGATAATCGATTTCGTCACTGTCATGATCTGATACTATTTCTGCTTCATCTCGACCAAGTTCATCTATATAGTTCTCACCACCGGCTTCATCATCATCATCATTTTCTGCAGTAGTCGTTTTACGATGTCTAAAATGAGATGTTACATTTTGATTAAAATAAGACAAAACTTTGAAACAAATTTTTACGTTAGATTAGTTTTACTCGTTGTTGATGGTGGAAGACCAAATGTAGTTTTTGACAGAGACATATTTCCAAGTAATTTTGCTGTTGTTTGTTGAACTAAATGTTCCTATTACGAAAAAGAAATGAATCAGTGTAGTAGACAAGCACAAGTATGGCATAGGTCTCTATAGAGTATTTTCAACGACTAACAGAATTCGACATTATTTGTATATAATAAAAAAAAAGGAAAGACTTTCATTGACTTTCTACTATTGCACTATTTTTTTAGGATAAAAGGATAATATTTCTTTTTTTCTTTGTCTATAAAGTTCCTCTTGTGTTATAATGCATTTCAAATGAATAATCTCATATTCACTATTGTAAATGTAATAGTTGAAACAATGAATGAAGTTAGCTCGTTTAAAATTTCCTTGAACATTTTCAACTCTTCACTTGACTTGACTTGAATATTTCTATATCAAAATAATTTCTTTTACAAATTATCTAAGGAAACTGTGAATTATTAAATGTAGAAATTATTTTAAATCTAATTTTTTTTTAAATCAGAAAAATAAAGACATGTCAACAAATAGAAATAAAAAGTAATATGAAAATATTGATAGATTAAAGTAAATATTTTCTCATTTGCATAGAATGATTTTATGTCTGAAAAATAAACTTTGAATCTAAATATATTACTAGAACCTAGTTCGATTTATTTGCCACATTTCGTCTAATCACCTACGTACATTTCAGATCCTAGATCCGATCATGCATAATTCGTAAAAACAAAAATAGTTGGTTTACACACTCAATGCTAATAGAACGTGCTAAATTTCACGTACACCGTTCAGTGCATGCCGGAACTTGAATTACAGTCATTATTTCTTATTTAATCAGAACTCGTGACTTCTGCACTTCAACTATTTACATTGCTGATGATGATAATGAGCAGGTAGACCGACTGTGATGCTGAGAGCAGCAAGTGTCTATTCTATTAGAAAAAGAGTGAAAAAAAACATTCATTTTTATTAATTAACTATTGGAAAACGCATTATTAGCTCAGTTGAACATTTTGATTTCAAGCAAAAACTTAGAAATTATTAAAACAGATAGCAGAAGATGAGATTATGATGTTGTGAAATATCAAATATAGTTTGTTCACAGATAAACATTATTTAAAACTAGTTTTATATCTAAAAATATCCACGATCGATTTCTATTTATGTTCACGATTTATTCCAAAATATTGACTACACTGTGTCAGCCAGCATTCATTACATTTACCTAGATCAATCATATTTTGTCGAACATTTTCTTCAAAGAATCTTAAACTTTTGACTATACTGCGTTTTTAACTAATCAGACTCAAATTTATAAAAAAAAGAACGGGTGGCCCTAATTATTAACTTCTATGTAAACAATAATAATATTAATTAATAATGTAAAATATAGTTTCAAGAAAATAAAATATCTGATATCTTGATTAGCAATTATTTGACTTTCAGCATTGACTCAAATGAATATTTCATGGAGACGTATTTAGAAATGAAAGTTAAAAAAAAGGTTAACTAACTAAATAAGCAACTTCTTTTTTAAAGAAAATATTTGCTTTTGAAAATGAAATTAAGTAATTGAAAAGTCTTACTTCTTGTCGTTTCGTTTCTTCGTTATATAATTGAATAGCCTCATCTAATGAAATAAGTTTTGCTGTTGTTACTGTAGCTTTACTGTCACGTTCAGCTTGTCGAGCTTTTAAACGTTGTTTAACTTCATTTAAACGTTCATCAGAAAAATGATTACTATATGTTGATGTTTTACTCGAATCTCTCGTCGGTTTTTCAAGGCGAAGGCTTTGTTGTAAAATTTCGTTGTCTTTAGATGACATTGTCATTTGACAAAATTGATGTGTAATAGTATCGCAATCCATAGGTGATGATGATGTTGCAAGAAATTTTTCAATTTCACCTATGGCATTACGTAAACGTTCACCTCTATCTGGCAGGCCATTGATTAAACGTCTTCAATAAAAACAACACAAAAAACGTAAATCAAATTATTTATTACACATGGCTGTTTTCTCTTACGTATTATTTAACATCTGTTGATGCTTGTTGAGTAGAAGTCTCAATTCACCTTCACTCATCTTACTATAATCTGGTTTTGATACTTGTTTTATCATCTGAAATAGGTCTTACAGAATTATTTTGTTTTAAAGCAATTTTTAAATTTTGTGAAATTAAAAATAAATAAGTTGATTGCTACGAGATGTTTACTATGCCCTATAATCAAAAATAATTATCAATCAAATATGGATACATTTTTTTGTTGTCATACATCGTATAAGAACTCATGTGTGTTAAAAATTATAGTCTTTATTGATTGAAATTACTCTCCTGTGATATTATTACGAGCTTTTTAACAGCCATACATTTTGGTTTCTTATAAAAGAATCAAATAATAACTTATTCAAGAAAATATCAAGATACAACACAATTCGCTAATGGCATCAAATTTATTATGCATATATCAGTTCCATTAGCTTATCTATTCTTACAAAAGTTCACTCGCACGACAGAACTCACTTTAATTAATGAATATCTTACAAAAATAGAATTTTAGTTAGTATATGGATGTTGAAATATGCCTGCTTTCGTAGCTTTAGGCTGGCAAGTCTTTCAAGTATGAGAACTCGATTTTCCATAAAAAAAACCAAACACATATAGCTCTGTTGAAATCTTCAAGTTTATTTTAAGTTTTTATATCTTTGTATTAAAACTTAAACAACAAATGAAACAAAAATAAATAAATTTTCAATTAAATTGTAAGGTCGATTACATAATGCAAAGACTCAAGTCTTCTCTTTCCACTAGACATTGCTTAGGCAAGTTCTTGTTATATTATCATACTGGTTGCAATAAAAATTATTTTCTGGGTTATTTTTAGTACTATCAAAAATAGCAACGCCGCTAGATTTTCTAAAAACAAGTATGGACTCAATTAATTAGTCAAGTATAAACGATATAAACAATTATTTTTAATATGATTCTAGATAGTCAATGAAAACAAAAGATGTAGAAAGATCAGATTCAATTTCGTATGAAATGAGTTTTTTCTTTCCACTACAGTTAATCATTCAGAACGACAACATAAGTACATTTGATCTCTTTAACTTCGCGTAATAATCCTGATAAACTTTGTCAAAAGCAAATATCTTATTATCAAAGTCGAAGTCTACACTGGTCACAAGAAAAAAGAACTGTTCGTAGATTTCCTTTATTAATTCATAAAAAAAGTTATTTTCGTTTTTTAATAGTCAGTGGTAGATTTAGAAGGAGCGTTGATTCTTATTTCTAAAGATTTTTCTTAATAGTACAAACTTAAAAGTGAGCTTCAAAATAGGGTTCAAGATCGTCATGATCTCGTATGTTCACTGAATTGCGCCTCATTATAATAATCGTTGACCCATAACTGTTTATAATAATTAGGTATGGATATTACAGAAAGAAACATGAAAATCTTAATTCGACCTCTTATTAAAAGGAAAAAAAAGAGAATATGATTTCAATTCACGACGCAATATTTTTCTAAAATAAAACATTACAAGCGATTTTATATCTATTATTTTCAAAAAGAAAATATAATAAAAGAAAATAAAATATTCTCTTTGAAAAGTATCACCAAACAAAAATGTCACTGGGCGGATCTACGTATAAGACATAGAAAGCAAAAAACAATTAAAATCTATTTAGGGATCACCGAACTGAAACAAAATACATGAAAAGTGTGAAAATATTCTTTTTTCAAGAATATTGAGTAGTAAAACGAATACATACAACATCAAAAAGAAATACATGTCTATAGAATAAGTTTTTTTTTCTAGTTAAAACTGCATCTTAAGTAAATACCGGATTCGACATTGATTTTCTTTGTACACTAAGTATTCTGATTGTGCAAAACTTGATGATGTATATGTTGTTCGAATTGGTTTACCAGCTGGTACGGTAACTTTTTTACCATCGATTGTTATTGATGTATCTTCTTTTGGATCTATTGAACAGAAAACATTAAAAAAATGATTATATATTACAGAGAAAAAGATTCAAACCTGGTTCTGTTTGACCACGAGCAACAACAGAATCGAAATTCGCTGGTGGTTTTTTTAATGATGAATCGTCAACGGTGATGGAATGTTCTTTACCCAAAGCAACCTCATTCTATGAAAACAATAACAAAAATAGGTTTCTTTTCTTCATTTTTGAAAATAATATTCTTACCAAGAACATAATGCCAATTTGTTTGCCCACATCATTGGTTGTACCAACTAAAATATAAGTGTATTAGTCAATTGATTTTTTTCTCCTAAAAAGAATCTTTTACTGACCATATCCACTACTTTTGCCATTTTCTGAAGCAAAATAAATTCCTTTACCAACTCGACCACCTGAATGTGGCATAATACGAAGGCCAGATTTAAGTATAGCAACAACAACAGCAACGCTTGTACCATGCCATAGTAATTTCCGATTATCGACTTTATCATGTGCTGAAAAACGTTCTTCCTAGAAAAATGATCGATTTAGAATAGGTTAACATTTTTATCGAACAGATTTGCTGTCGCTTATTTGAAATGATGGTTACTTGTATAAAAAATCAAGATCTTTAACTGGATCTTATGAAAATTCAAAACTTAATTTTCATCATACATAAGTTAGATAAAAGCTGCTTTCTAATAATACGATCATGTCAAAGCAACTAATTCTCTTTGGAAAAAAATACATTTTCCGAGCTGACAATAACATTCTATTATTGAATTACATAAGAGACGCTCAGACTTGTTAATTGCTAGATTTTCTCTTGGGAAATGATAGAAAAGTCCTTTTTTTGGGCGTTTCTTAACGCCATTGCAGTTTCATCAAAGAATGTCATAAGAAACTCGTAGAGATGTCCGTCTGTAAAGAAGTTGTTGCTCTATCAATATGTCTTAGAAAAATCAGCTTTCGATTTAAAGTTTTATCGACTGCAAAACTTCTCAACGGCAAACATCTATTATAATCCTTATTTACGTTCTCTTTTCGAGTTATCAACATCGAATGAATTTCGAAACCACTGTACTTCAATCAGTTTTTATTCTTATTTTGACTTACGTCTCCATCACGACCAACCCGCCATACATCCATAATTTTGCATTTACGATATCCTTGTGTATTTACTGTAAATTTTTCAATAATCTTAATAGATGAATATTATTCAGAAAATTTTCTTAAAACAAAAACCAAGAAAATTAATAATTACTTTAAATTCTTCACTTTCAACATCAACATGATCGAGTGAACATTTGAGTAAACCATAATTAACATCGTATGGATGAGGTTTAGCATCCTCAACTTTTTTCTTCGTTGCTCCCTCGTCACCTTTATCTTTTTGCATACTTTGAGCTAACTCAATATCAGCTAGAACCTACGAAAATAGGTTCAAAAATATTTGTAAATTCAATTCGAAATCTAATTTTATAACGTACTGCAAGCATATCATATTTTTTCTGTAAACCTTCACGAGTATTAATTGGTTGAGGTCTTGTTCGTCCAAAATCATGAGGGATGGTCGTATAAAATCTTGATGATATTTCATCATATGTACCTTTCTTTTTATTTTCCATAACAGCTTCAAGTTCTTCTAAGATTTCAAAGCCTTTAGCAATTTGACTTTTACTTAATTTTCCTAATGGCATTTTTTTAACATCAATATCATATGTTTTTAATGCGTCTTTGAACATGTCCGTATCAAAAATCAGTCGAATTAACGATTGTGTGGCATTATCAAGTTTACTGGCTGCATATACTGTTCCATCTTTACCCTCAACTGTTGTAGATTTACTGGTCGGTGCTTTTTCTTGATCATCTTCATCGTCACCATCGCCAGCCACATCAATCAAATCATATTTACCCGCAACTTTTTTAAAATCACTGCGATTATCCCCTAAAATATAAAATAGTGAATCAATATTTAAATTGGCAATATTTTTACAGCTTACACCCATTTTTAGTTTTATCTTTGAATTTACTCTTGAATTGTTGAATAGCTTTATCGCTTGATGCAAATGGGCCAAATATTTGACTGTTACCAGATTCACCCTAATCATAATTTTTATAAATATTTAAATATAATATTATTATTGAACTTACTACACGACCCCATCGAGTCCATGTATAATACTTGCTAGCTTGTGTTAATGCTTGAATTACATAAAATTTATTGTTATTTGCTCCAATATTTGTTTGATTAAGCATAGCATCATAATCGTCCAAAACCTTAATAACATATATATGGATATATTAATTGTTGAAAAAGAAAAGGTAAATTCAGTTACTTGATAACTGTCTGCATTGGGTATGTTTTTATCTGGTAAATGTTTCTTTGGTTTTGATTTGCTGGCGTCAGCAGCACGTAATTGTTTTATTATATCAGTTTTAGATGAAACAGCTTCTTCCTGAAAAAAGAAAAAGAAATAGAAATATGAACATCAAAAATAAGATAAAACTAACTTCAGCTTCTTCTTCTTCTTCGGCTACAGTTGTTTCTTCTTCTACTACTTCTTCGTCCTCTTCTTCTTCAATTGGTATTGTTTTCTTGGCTCTTTTTGATGTAGGAGCTAGAAATTTATAGCATATGTTATATAAGACCAAGAATATATCAATATACTGACCAGTTTTAGCAGGAGACGCTTTACGTTTGGTAGTAGCAGGTGCTTTAGTTGCCTTCTTAGCACGTCTTTTTGGTGGCATTGTTTAGAGAAGAAATTGTTCTTTTCTAAAGTGAAAATAAAATGTTAAAAATACAGATTTTTTACTGGGTATATATAGATGCAGAGTATATAGGAAACCACAAAGAGAGACAAAACATCAAAATAAAATTAGAATTTCACTGTGCTTGTGTAATATCAGTCAATAGGTTTTCATTGGTTCCATCGGTTAAACTAATAATGAAAAGTAAAAAGAGGTCGTTCATCTACAACAATATCGATGATGGTTCCTATATAGAAGAATTCGAATAAATCAGTCACACTAAAGTGTTATTTTTATATAATAAAAACACACAAATAGAGATAGTAAAGATTCTCAGACACTATAATTATCTGTATCTTTTCGTCATTGCCTTCTCCGTGATGAAAAAAAGCATAGAACGAAACAATAGTTCTTATACACGTGAAAAATTTTTGTCAACATAGTCAAGAATTATCCAAGCTATTATTTTTCCAGTTTTATTTGATCCTACTTTTGTTTTTCATTGTTACTGCTTTTTACTTGCGAATCTCAAACTGCTGTCTTTGCAAGCTATAAATAGTGCAAGATATTGATAAGAAAACATTACGTAATTTCTAACACATTTGCCAATAACTTCTATAATCGATATTCAACTGCCCGAACTATAATATATAAGCTAAATATTGTTAATAAAATTCAAAAGCAAACCTAGATTATTGATATATGTGCTTCCCGTTGTATCGATGAGAGAAAAATTGACCTAGAAAACAAAAAGTATCATTCATATTAGAAAACTATAGAAGAAAAAGGTTGTTGAGAAATTGTTACAGCCATATATTTTCTAATAATATGAAAGATTTTAGAAACTCTTCTCACACAGAAAATTATTGTTGACAATTCATCCACTTTGTTGAATTTCTTTTTAACAAAAACCACCAATAAGTGTATTTGAATTTAGAACTGATCAAATTATATTACAAGACATAATTTACCGGTCAAATAATAACTTAGATTTGGCGCTATTTTCATCAGCTATAACAATATTAGTTATCATATAAAATGATGCTTTGAATTAATTAAAGTATTTCAAGACATTCGTACAGTCAATTATATTATCATGCATTGCTAAAGAGAAAAGTAAAATGCTGCTTTTGGGAAGCATCGCACAAAAAAAAGCAATAAAATTCAAAATAATTAAATTATGTTGCCTTTTTCTCTAGTTGAAAATACTATCATGAATTTTTTAGTGTATGTAATCTACGCAAGAATTTAATTTTTACAACTTAAGTATGAACTTTTGTTGAACCAAAATGCCAGACAATTAATATGTTCAAGCTAGTAGAATCTATACAATAAAAGGATAAAAGTGATGAAAAAAATACAAAATTCAGTGCAACGAATAAGAACGGAACGCTACATTTTAACCGATAAATGGTATAACAGTTCACATATGTAAGAATTTAAGCTTGCAAACAAAACAAAAAGATTCTAGATTGGCATGATGCTGAATTTGAGATAAAAATTTTCATCATTTAGTCTATAGAATACTTCTGTAACAATATTTCGGTGGTTATTTCAATTAGAAAGAATCAAATTGATACCTGCGAAGAAAAAAAACTATAGCCTCTTACTCATATAGCTACTATAAAAACTTTCATTCCTGTAAAAAAACATCTTAAGAAGCGACACTGATAAACAGAAGTTAAATTTTTTCAATGTAAAACACATTCGATTTGATGTAGGATTCGTTGTTTGCATTAGAGATAAACGAGCAGCATGCGCAAGTAATTCTTGTACACCTTGACGAGTTTTTGCTGAACACTCCATATAAGCATTGACTTTAATCTCTACTGCAATCTGATTTCGATCTTCACCTGACAGTTGCTTTTGACCTTTTGCTTTCAATACTGCGCTAGTTTGAGGATCTGCTCTTAAGTCAATTTTACAAGCTACTAACACGATAGGACATGAAACACAATACTGACGTATTTCTGGATTCCATTGTGTAATAATATTCGCAGTTGATGTTGGACAATCAACATTAAAACATATTAGTACAACATCAGGTTCAGAATACGCCAGGGGGCGAAGACAAGCATAATTATCATCGCTAGAAACATCAAATAACGGCAGTCTTAACTGCAATTGAAAATAAAAGAGCATTCTTTTATTAGAAATCATATAATCCTTTACTTATGGTATGCCCTTCATGCTCAATATCAGTACCATATATTTCAAAAGCAGTTGTTGTAACGGTTTCAACAAAGATATCACTTTTACAGGCATTTATAAGACATGTTTTACCAGTCATACTATTACCAACCACAACTAATTTTTGATTCGTAGAAAACTTCTGTTTTCTATTCTTGAGCATCTAAAAGCTTTGAAACAGAATTGTTTTCATGAAATCGATTTTTTTTATCATATAACATCAGGAAAACAATCAAGACAGAGTAGTAGAGTAAATTATACCAATGAGAAAACCCATCATTATACGAAGTTTCAATGGCGCACATTTCATATTTACCATCGTGAGATCATAAAGAATATTTTTCCTAGTTATAAGTGGCCACAATGAGTTTCATTGAAAAACAAGGTATGACTATTATATTTCTTTTTAAAGATTTTTGACTGATTTTATTTTCTGCTCCTATAGCAAATTGCTACTTCGACTACAACTGTAGGAATCAAAACAGAAATATGATTCATACAAAATCAACTTCGTCCTCATTATTTGTCACAAAGGAAATCAATTGAAATAGAAAGTCTTCCCGATGATCTATTCAATACAAAAAACAAATCCAAGTACTATTAATAATTCACATTCGTCACCACGATACCCTCGACAAAATCGCAATCCGCCTGTTCGTTATTCTTCTTCGTAAATATCTTAAGGGGAAAGGTGTTGGTGATGTTTCCTTTCTTGTAGCATGTTATTTTCTTCTTGTTCTTTCTTCTTTCTCGCTGCATTCGCTCTTTATATAATTGAACATTGTTTTTGTCCTTAATCTTTTTGTTGTGTGTTCTGTCAAGGTCAATCACAAGACGAACAATGACCGGACTATTTTTATTGCATAATTTTCTATTACACAATATTATTTCTTTTGCGATTTTCATATATCTTACAGTTAGATAAGTTGTTATCTGTGATTGTATACAATTCTATCGTTAGGAATTGTTTTAGTAATTTGTTCTTTTTGTTATTTCAAAACGTGAAATAAAAACATATATAGAACTTCGTTCTTATATATACAAGAGCAAATCTACAATAGTATAATATTGTCGACAAATGTTCGTGCTACAGACTGATTTAAGTCTGACCAAAATCCGAGTAGAAATAGTGTCAGAAATTAGATTTTACTATTAACGCTAAAAGTGGCTACGAACGGGGGAAATGGACACAGGCAAAAGTAGATCTCACGGAAACCTGCTTGGATACTTGTCCTGACGAGATTTAAAAAATTGAAAAAAATAGATCGATAGAAAAATGTTTTCTCTACAATGTTTGTACCGTAAATTTTTTTATCTTCAAAAATGGAAGCGATAATTGCTTCGCAAACAGAACGTGTTTTTCCGTGTGCCCATTTGCTCCTCTTTACTCTAAATTTTTTTTGTTTTTTATATAATAAAATTTAATGAAGAATGGAACCATTTATTTCGATAAACCATCTTACATGCGCAATGAGACAAAATATAATTATAGAAAAAGAAGCCGATTAGATAAGCCTATGGGTGTTGTTATTGTGAATTGTATTTTGTCGTGTTTCTACACAATTATAAATGCAATTTTGTTTCACAACATTTTTGCTGGCAATTAATCTTTCACTCAAGAGAAATCAATACAACAATTCTAGTTTTGTGGTGTAACAACTTTCGATTTAATGAAGCAAACATCTGTGGTGTGTATTTTGTCTAGATCGTTTTTCAAGAGATAAACGAGCGGCATGAAAAAATAAGTCTTGTACACCCTCACGAGTTTTCGCTGAACATTCCATATAAACATCGGCATGAATTTGTGCAGCTAGTCGTTTTCCATCTTCAATGGATAGCATTTGTTCATGTTTTTCTGTCGAGTCTGTGATTGTTATAAGATCTGTTCTTAAATCTTTTTTACAGCCTACCAGTATAACTGGACATGTAGCACAATAATGATGTATTTCGGGATACCACTTTTCAGTAACATTTTTGGCTGATGTTTGATTATCTATGTTGAAACATATCAATACGATGTTAGTATCATTATAAGAAAGTGGACGAAGACGATCAAAATCTTCTTGACCGGCAGTATCAAAAAGAGCCAATGTAATCTTTAAATTAAAAAAAAGCAAAATGTCATAACTGATAAAAATTGAATAATTATTATTCTCAAACTTTTGATGGAAAATCTTTTATGAGAAGTTATATTTGGAAAAATGAACTTACTTTTTTGTCTTCTACTTGTACACTTGCAGCATAGGTATCAAAAATAGTTGGTGTATGATTAGGGCCAAATTCATTATAAGCAAATGCATACAATAGACACGTTTTGCCACACATTCCATCACCCACAATAACTAATTTTCGACTTTTTTCAATAATTCCTTTTTTATTATCCACCATCTAAAAATATAGTAGACATTTGTTTTATTTTTCGAGGAATACATAAATTTTGCATCGTTAAAATCAAGGTACAATCATATATACATTTCAGTAAATGCTTATCATTACTATCCCTCGTCAACCGTACTATTGATTGTGAATATATATATATATAGTTAAATAGATGATATGATGACTTAACCTTTTGACAAGTAAATATAGGAAGCGTCATAACATTGAACAAAAAACGTATTTCACCAATTTTTGCCATTTTAAAATTCTTTTCTCTATTCACATTGCAGTTCCTTTTGTGGTTTCTGTTGACACTTCTTACTACTTGTGTAACAAGCATCAGGAGCGAATAAAATGACTCTACAATAACAAACATAAATCATGAATTTCTGCGTCAATAGAAAAAAAATTTATTTTGGTATTATTTTTAGACTTTTTTGAAAAATGAATGGCACAGATGTTCTTCCCTATTTTGCAATTTTTGTTTTTTGAAAAAACAAGCATTAGTCATTTTTACCATTTATAGAAGTTATGTTTTTTTTATCTAAGGTTAGTCATAATTGTTCTATCTACGTATATGTTAGCAATGATAGATTATTTTCCATAAGCGAATCTTACCATAGTGGGCTATTTTATTTTAGATCGATAAAAATTTGTGACGCTTTTCAGACCCATATTCTACGGTAAAAAATGTGCCTGCAAAACGCTTTCTTCTTTCAAATAGAATAACATTAATATCCAGCTACTATAACTAAGTGATTTGAAGCTTTTGTTTTGGGCGATTGAAATTTCAATTGTATTTGTATGATAAATTTCACTATGATTGACTAATTCGAACAAACTTTTAAATGTTTTATTGCTCTACAAGTGTTTCTCGCCTGTAAATAATTCTCGTTTTTTAACTCATATTATTGAGAATATGCAAGTCTCACACTGTGAAAAATACGTATCCAATGGTGAGATGCAACAGTACAAGGATGTGTTATCGATACAGAAAGAAGGAGAAAAAGTAAACATAATGAATAATCGGTATTGCATAACTAAAAATTCAGTCGCCTTTAATACTTAATTTCGGATATTTTTTCAGTTTCTTTTAGAAAGAACGACATAATCTTCAAATTAAACTAGTCTGTGTATAAATCGAAGGAAAGTAAATGCGTATACAAGAAGGACGACTGATATTATGAACAAAATGATTAAAAAAAAACTCATTCTAGAAGCCTTTGTGTTTCATAAAAATGATACCTCAAAATGCAGAGCTTCTATTTTAAAATTACTTTTTTCAATAAATAATTTAAGGCTCGTTTGTTTTTGTTCCAATTTTAGCTGGAATTAAAATTCTTAGAGTTAGATCGCCGGTGAAAACTTTACTACTTAGATATTGTTTTAGGACCATTTTCAGTCGGTTGTACCAATCGCACGAAAAAGTTGCAATTCACTGATCTCAAAGATTATTTATCATATTGTTAGTATAAAAAGTACACAATCATTCTTTTTTTTTATTAAATAAAATGAAAAAAAATAAGTCTAATGCAAAAGACTATAATTACGAAAAAAACCTAATAGTAGAATAAAAGTATCTTAAAAACTTTTGCTGAAGACTTCAGATACTCTTAAACTTTGACTTGTCCAGTTAAATTGACATAAACAATGATATTTATTGCCTGAATTTTTAATTTATGTCAATGTTTATTCTAAAGTCTATTTTGATGACAACTAATATGACCAGATATTTTCCATCACATTTACAGCGGATGGTGAATTATCAGCACTAAAGCTTTTTTAATAATCTCGCTTGTATTATTCTGTGTAAATATTTCTGTATAGCAAGCACAGAGTTAACTACAAATATATANTCAACTAAAATAAAATTTTCTGTCACAGATATTACTAATATCAATATTTATTTGTAGAAGCTTCAAGGGGGAAACGGCAGACTTGAAGTAGAAAAGTACATCAAAGTACTTTACTTGAAGTAAGCTTAAAGTAGCGCAATGTAGCCTAAAGTAGCACAAAGTAGCGCAAAGTACTTGAAGTACAAAAGTCTGCCGTTTCCCCCTTGAGAAGCTTGCTCGTTGTTTATCAATCTACTATAAATCCTATATCCCCTATAACTCATGTACCACTTAAACCTCCTAGACTCCATAGACTCCCTATATCCTATATATATCTATATCTATTATATCTGCGAAGTTTGGTTCCCTAACACTTAATCGAGTTTCCGGGGATATTCTCGGAACGCATCTAATCAATATAGTAGTTCTATTAGCAAGTAATGACCCATTCTGTTGTTTATAATTGTAATATCAATCGCGAATAACTTTGAGCCAAATAAATTTAGAAAATAAGCTTCGTGCATTATTAGTAACAGGTATGGTATATACGACTTTCGAAGTACGCATATGTAGCCATATAGATACTCAGAATCTAAACGGAGTTATTTTCTTGTTTGGAATTAATATTACCTTTCTCTCAACATGATATAAATAGATTCCTGTTATGTTTAAATTAATAATAAAACATAGTAAAATAGAATTGTAACATATACGTATATGTGTAGCTAATCGTATTACTTATCTAATTGATGTACAAAACTGCATATAATAATACACAAGACATCTAAAACATAATATTCCAAAAACAGAAATTCCGTGTTCATCTAGAGAGTAAAATGTCTGTATGAGAATGCAAAATTGGATCAAAATGATTTACACCTTTTCGATCAGAACTGTTGAACATACTGAAAGCAACCTATAAATTTGTGTGTAGGATGATGTTACTCCACTAAACTAACAGGATTCATGCTTGAAAATGAGGTTTGCTCATGTGAACTTACAATTAATTTAATCATTAGATCAACAGAAACATATGTTTCGAGGATAGTTAATGACTAGCTGTGTTCCGAAGCTCATGATTATGGAAGATATTTTTCATAGTTTGCTTAGCAAAATCAACTATTTTTATGATGTACTGTGTTGAAAATATGGAAGTTTTGTTCTTGATGAAAAGAATGGAGATGGACCTAATGAATTCTACATAAAATTAGCGGAAACTTCGAAGAAAAACTTGAAAAATAATACCAGCTGAAATGGCAATATCAAACCTTAGTTATTAATCTTTTTTCATGTACATATCCAACTAGAAGCCTATACGTGTGGAAAAACATTACGACTATGTCATTCCGTAATTATGAGAATTGTGTATATATATAGAGAAAAATGATCTACATACATTTATGTCAGTCTGATTGCTACATATTTTAGTATGTGTTATTTATCTTTGAATACACATGAAAGACATATTTTGCCGCACATTCCATTGTCAACAGTAAATTGTCATGTTTTTTCTTTGGAATAATAAAAGCTTTCTTATCTACGATAATGTACCACAAAACTGTTGACATGCAAAATTGATGTTTTTTTTCAAATGTATAAATGACAATTGAGACCAATAGATGATAAAATCGAAAGAAATGATTGTATCAATTGAATGATTGATATAATTACGTATGTATCTTCATTATACGTATTATTAATAGCAAGTCATATGAGTTGGAAACTTATCATATTTTTTTGCAATATTTTTCTTCATCATTTTGAATGATAGATTAAGTTTTTCAGTGAAAATTACGAAATAGGTATAAGCTATTAAACTGTTGAATTATAAGAATTGTTTGCGTTATACTCATCAATCGTTTTTTCGGAAAAAACAAATATTTATTTCATTCATAATAATTCACTGAACTAACGATAATGATAAACGATATCTAAAACAGTTTCTTCCAATGTTTGCTGGACTTTTGTTGTTGAGATATCAATGTGATTAGTTAATTGTGTCGTATTACCTTTCTAGATATATAAATATAAAAAACAAAACTTCTCTTTTATTATACATAAGACAATTAAAAATATATGACTAGATCTCAAAATCGAAGATACTAAAAAAGCGTTGAAACTTCTACTATATATAATGTTTCTCTTTATGATGAAAGCAAACATTTCTAGTTTTTAAAGCATCATTATCCTTTTTAGATCCTGCTTTTTTTGCAAAAATTCAAGCGATTTGACCTTGTTATTCTAAAACTTAAATTAATCACTTATTCGAAAGCATTATTTTTTCACTCATTGTTGAAACGAACTAAACAAGACTTCGTTCGATTTCATTTTTACTATAAATAGTCGAATTCGATAAAAGATTTCTTAGAGATAATTTCATTTAATTATTAAGCATTTATGATTTTGAAAAATATGCTTAAAATGATAAGTGACAGAGCCTATGAATTAATTTGATATAATTGTGTGTTATAATGTGTTTGTGATGCGTAACCATTATAATTACTAGTTGGAAAGATTTATGCAGCAGGTGATAGGAGACGTTAATACCTGGAAAAACTATACGTCAACGGCATCTAAGACAAATTCTATGATGAAAAAGAAGAAAAGAAAATATATCACGATGATCTTATCTTTATTACATTAATATTATTCATTGTTGATATAAAATCTGACAAAACAAGATTCTATTAAAACTAATGATGACACAATTTAGACTTGTAACGTTATAAAAACTCCTTTATTTTATTGTACGTTAGATAACTGATAAGTTCTTATGATTACATATGCGAAAATTACTGAAGAGTGGAAATAAAAATAAATTACATTCAGAGCTGAAATTCCATTATTCGAAACCCAATAACACGATAAGTGAATACACAACGATACAATACATTAATCAAACTATAAGACATCTACGGTGTTTTTTATTACTCCGTTTCTTCAACGCTAATCGAGCTGCAAGAATAAATAAATCATGTACACCTTCGCGAGTTTTGGCTGAGCATTCCATATAAGCATCTGCTTTAATTTGTGCAGCTAATCGTTTTCCATCTTCAATTGTCACCGGCTTTTGGTTTTTCGCTCTCAACGCCGAAATAGTGCGAGAATCTGTTCTCAAATCTATTTTACAAGCTACCAATATTATAGGACATCCACCACAGAAATGCCGTACTTCTGGAATCCATCTTTCAGCAACACTTTCTGCCGATACTGTATTATCAACACCGAAACACATAAGTATAACGTTCGTATCAGGATATGAAAGTGGGCGAAGACGATCAAAATCTTCTTGACCAGCAGTATCGAATAAAGCTAAATCAATCTATAAGTATAAGCTTTAGTTTCTAGAGAAACAAACTATTTGTTGATATTTACTTACAGTATTTCCATCGACTTCAATCTCAGCAACATATGTGTCGAAAACAGTTGGTATATGGTCCGTATTAAATTCATCGTCTTTGAATGCAAATAGAAGACATGTTTTACCAGACATGCCATCACCAACGACGACTAATTTTCGACTTTTTTGCAGCACTGAATTTCGATTATTTGCCATCTGAAAATAAAAATAAATAGTCAAAAAGTTATTTTCTAAAATCTGTTATTTTCCATAATGTGCAGTGCTTATAGCATAAACAATGTCTCTTGCCTGTAGAAAAAAAGAAAGAAAGAAAGAACAATAGATGATAGTAATGCAGAATACTTCAAAAAAAAGGACACCATGTTATTTTCTTTCATACGTTTTCATTATTTTTTGTTTTCGTAAACAATTTTCTCCGTGAAAGTGCAAATAGTCGCACAGAAAGAAAATAAACGACACCGTGGAGATGAAGAGATCATATTTTCGTGTGTCTTCTGTGGTTCGACAAAATATTTTTCATTACATCATTATCTTATATCTCAATGACAGACAATATCTATTCTTCATTTATATATATACTTGAGTAAAGTAGTGTGAAACCACGTTTTTTTTTATTGTTTTTGCCCATAATGTGAAGCAATTAGTGAAAACTCAATGATGCATATTAAACGCCACTAAAGTTTCCTATCTAAAGCATTCTGCATCAAGCTTTTAGAACTAAACAATAGCAGTAAGATGCAACAACAAAAAAAGACAGAATGACAGTACTTTTCAGTTGTAATACAACTTTGTCGCAGCTATTCTATTTTCTCATGAGCATCCTTTACTAGATTTCAAAGGATCGATAAAATAGTAAGGAAACGAAATTTACCGATTTTTTTGGAATTTTTAATTTTGAAAGGATTGATCACAAATCTCTTGGAGCTGAACAACTAATTCATCTGATTTTCTTTTTCGAACTATTTTTTCATTGTAACTCATCTATAGAATTTCGACTGATAAGATAAGAGATAGTAAACTCAATCGGCTGCTAAAATCACTAGCTAGACTCCAGCCAATTGCTTTACATGATGGGAGAAGTAGGTAATTGAAAAGATTTTTTTCACTAACTTACTTGACATAAATCATTCTTTTTCACTTGATGATCACGCTTTTATACAGTACTAGGAAACTTCGTTATGGTCTAGTAGTAACATTTATCTCTACTCAGTTTACATAAGAACAAGGGATGACTGACTCTTAATTTGATTGTATAGTTAATTCCTTGAATTCTATACATGTTCTGATATTTGATGACTATGATCGTTTTAATTCATGTTTATAATCAAGAGAATCATCATGATATAAATAAAGATACTAGATAAATTACAATAACTTACACCAAACCGGCATTAACGATGATGAATATACTCTCTATTTATAATATGCGAATGCAATCATCGGAGGAAAATATATGAAATGAATAATTTGTAATTTTTCTTTTTCAAGTTTCTTAGTTTCCAGATTGAATCAATATTATTAATAATATTTAATACTGCTTAATACTATCGGTTTAGAAGGTTTCTCAAATATGCATCGACTCCTAGAATTTGAATAGTATTTTTGCATGCCGTACATGTGGCGTTTATTACTGAATATGAATACATAAAAATGACAAATGAATCTTCTATAATAAAACCGAGCGATTATGACAGATGTCATAAGCTGCGTAGTTGCTTGCTAATTAAACTATCATACGCTCTGATGAATTTTCATTTTACCCTTTTTTCCCCTACAATCAACCGTGTGCAGTTAGTCATACGATCAAGAGTATTGTATCTTTTATCTGAAAATTGATTTACCTCAATCGAATAATCATATTATACTAGCTATAATCAAGTCCTTTCAATGAAATTTACGTTCCAGCTATCTTTTTTCTTCTTCTTATATTGACAAAGAGATAAAAATATAAAATCATTCTTTATATCACTATCGCCTCCACACGTTTCATTCTTCATGCAAATACTCACAAATTAATTCCCATGAAAATATACGAAGACAGTAACGCAGAATATTTTATATACAATGTACACTTATATATATATATATATATATATATGTTTTTATGATAAAAAGTAATTCATAGAACCAATGCATTCTTAAATTTTGTCAATTTCATTGTTTTCTTTTATCGTTAAAAGAGAACCAAGATTAAAATACAATGATTCATACAAAAAGAATATTAAAAAAAACGAGTGTAAGGTAAAAATGAGATAAATACAAAAAATATCAATATAAAAAATAAAATTTTGATTTAAAATAAATTACATAAGTGTTTCTTTTTAGATCTACCTTTAAGTGATAAACGAGCAGCATATACAAATAATTCTTGTACACCATCACGAGTTTTAGCTGAACATTCCATATAAGCATCAGCCTTGATTTGCGAAGCTATTTGTTGACCAACATCAGTTGACACCGGTTTTTCTCCATCTAATTTTAATTTTTCAACTGTTTCAGTATTTGTTCTCAAATCTTTTTTACAAGCAACTAATATTACCGGGCATTGTCCACAAAAATGTCGTACTTCAGGCATCCATTTTTCAATGACGCTGGTTGCTGATACAGGACAATCAACACTAAAACATATCAATATAACACTCGTATCAGGATACGAAAGTGGACGAAGACGATCGAAATCTTCTTGGCCAGCTGTATCAAATAGAGCCAAGTCAATCTAATGGAAGTAATATTTCATTTTCATATACTACTTGTCTATGTGTATATACTCACAGTTTTTCCATCGACTTGAATGTCGGCAACATATGTATCAAAGATAGTAGCATCATGAGTTGGAATGAATCGATCATCTTTAAATGCAAATAAAAGACATGTTTTACCACACATGCCGTCTCCTACAATAACTAATTTTCTGCTTTTTCGCACATTTCCATTTTTATTCATTGCTATCTACAATTGAACTAATGAAAACTTTCTCGTGTTAAACTACCTAGCGAAATGTCTTCTATTCAAGTTAATATGCAAGAAATAAAAGAAGTAAATCGTATGCTTGTTGTTGTATTTTGCGACTGAGCATATATTTATTTAATGTGATGAATGGTGTTGTTGACTAACGTGCGCATATTCTACTCAAACTAATGAAAAGATGAAAAACCGAAGAGAAATAATTTAATGTAATACGTAAAATCAGCATCATTTGTTTTCAAAATGAGATTCATGAAAAGAAACGAAAGAAAAACACAGTGAAAGAGAAAAGGGCGTGCAGCACGATTCGTCTCTTTTTTTATTTCTAGCTAATGCAGTTTGTTGTTTTGACTACAATTACTCGAATGAAAGACAACAGTTGTGATTTTGTTGGAAATCTTATACCATAAGACATACTAAAGAGAAAAAAATACATTGCACCCAATCGACTTTTTTCTTTTAGAATAATCATCCAGCGATGTGCTGATGAAGTCAAACGAAAGTTTTTTTATTTTTATTTCGCCAGTGAACAAAGCGACCACTATTTTTTTTGTCTATTCATTTTTTTTTCTGTATATAGATGTGAGTATGTGTGAATTGGTAAAGAGGACAACACTATGGTAACAATATGCAGTTTGAAGAATGCGGATCAATATTTTTTTTTCTTTTGTATGTTTGACAGATGTTATTTTATTAAAGAAAAAAAAACTTGAAATTCAATAAAATAACTTGTAGTTTGGTTAGAATAAATAGATTAATTTTATTAACATAATCGAATTCAATACAACTTTCCGATTCATTGATATGAATTTATCAGTCATTGAAGAAGCATCATCATTATCAAGTGATTTTCAAAAACCTCTTATTTCAAATGTATCCATAAACAAATTTACTACTGAACCTTCGTGTTCCAATACCAATCATGTTAGAATTCGATTTACTATAGCTTTAGCTGTACCTGCCGGTAAGTTCAATTCAAACTTGTACACATTCAATAAACATCTGATATAGTCTCTACACGATGATAAATTATATCTTCTCTAACACTATTTTATGGTATCAGTTCTCTATTAGCCTTGTGTCTCGTCGTCGTTCAAGATGATAAAGGTTTTTACATGCGTGCTCATTATTTTTAGATTTCACTTTGCAATAGATGTTCTATATTATTACACGTTGTTATTCACTGATTTTAATTTGATATTTTCCTATTTTTAAATTTATTCAATATTTAAAATTAATGTTTAGACTCCCAAGTATCAAATGAATCACAATCACCGCCAATTAATACTTATTACAATGGACGAGCCTCTGAAGCATCGAAACCTCAAGTAACAAAATGACGTTAAAACTACTTTTCATTATTTACAGTTTAATTAAAATAAAAATAGGCATATTATCGTGTTGAATATTCATTGATACCTGGGGAACCAAATGTTGCATTTGATATTGTTGTATTTCGAACAGCTGCAAAAATCTATCCAGATAATCAGGATAGTCGAGTTGTATTAACATGGGAAGATGAAAATGAAAATGTTTGGATAGTTTGGAATCATGTGTAAGTCTAATGTTTTGTTTTCGTTTGAAATCTAAATTATTTATGACTTTAAATAGTCATAAAGTCGATTTAAGTCGTGAACGTTTATTAGCATTATTATCACATAAAATTTTTGTTAAAATATGGGATGGTAAAGAATACTGCAATGTACGTACAAAACTAGATAAGCCACGCATCGGACGAGCTTTTCAGACTTTAACAGCAACGAATAAAAGTAAAAGGCAACAACTAAATCTTAAGAAAGTACTTTGATTTGGTTCCTTTTCAATTATAAAATCTAGATGGTGATCAAGACAATTCTCCAAAACATATAGTACAAAGTATGGCACAAAATTTTGCAGATAAATGGGTGGCTAAACCCATGCTATATAAATTACATCGAAAATTACCCATAATTATTCCACCACCCACACCATTTCTACAAAAGAAAAGTTTGTTTAGTTGATATTAGATTGTCTTTTGTATTTTCTACTATTTAATTTCAGTTGATGATACAGAGAATCCTCGACTAGCAACACCATCAGTACCGAATGTATTACAAGAAAAATCTAGCGATAATTCAGTGTAAGTTTTATTTCTATAAATACAACATTTTGTTTTCCTTCCGAATCATCAGGAACATATTTCAGGACTTTCTTTTTATTCTCGTAGTGGTATGTATGTTTTATAGTCGTCCCGTAGTTTTTCCTGTAGATTGTTTAATTCGATGGGAATTTATTATGTGTAGATTGATTTATATATTTTTGTAAATTTCTATTTCTTTTCACTGAAAATCGACTCTTACCTTTCTATTATTTATTATTCTATTCTTTCTTTTTTTTTTCTATGTTTAAGTAAAGAAAGCAGCACACCTATTGAAGGGCCAATATCGACTCCAACCGAAAATGAAAATTCTATTATTGTGAAAAGTAGTCCAGATGAAAACGAAGCAAAATCAAACGATAATATAAAGCAAAAGAAAGGTTTATTGTCGTTTTTTTTGTTTTGATGATGTATTTAAATGAATTATAGTAGGCACAAGATCACATAAACATCAGGATGAAAAAAAAGAGAAAGGAACTGCTCAAATACACATTCCAAGCAAGTTAATATTTGCAGGTATGAAAACACTTTCAAGATTATTTATGCATGCAGATTTGATGAAGTCGCATTTCAAAATAATTCTCAAGATTTCAGACGACGCTTTCTATTTACTTTACAATAGCAGCACTTAAGAAAGATTTCTTATTATTTTTCTAATAGCCTATATGCACTCTATACTCTAATGAGTAATAATAAGAAGAAATAAAAATGTTATTATGATTACTGTTTGATATTAAAAGAAATCTACAATGAAAACCATGATTACAATTCATTAGTAAATACCCGAATCTAAATCGATATTAAAGTTTCCAAATATGAAATAACATCATAGTGTTATGAGAATTTTTGAAATCTTTTGAAATGAAATATTGAGTATTAAAATTCAAAATTCAAACTTATCAAATCGATGTAATTTAGTGTTGAATCAGGATACAACGATGAAAACTTCAATTCTATTTCATTCATAAAGAATCGTTGTTTTCATTGACACCTTCGGTAGATGCTCTCTGTCAAAGAATTATAATTGACCAAAAGAACGATCTTACACAACTGTAAGCAATAGAATTCTATGTATATTTCTGATTATTTAGCATCACACAAGAGATCTCGTTAGATCTAAATTAAATGAATTCCGGAAGATTCCTTTAAAATTCGACATAAATATTCGTCTAATTTGTTCCAAATTCAAACATTTAGAAATGTCCACTTAAATAAAGTAGAATTTTTTGAACATTTTTCGAAGGTCATGCTTCCTTTTGAAAGTCCATTAAAATACTTGAACATGTGCAGTAGCTAACTATTCAAGATTCGTTTATGAATAAAAACCTTCAACATATCACTATCGTCAATAGAATACACTTGATATTTTTAACTTTTAAGGATTTAAAATGATTACATCTCGTCTTAATGATGACTTAATATTACCGAAAAGTATTCAAGATTGCTTAGTTAGTATTAAAATTGAAGATTATGAATTAATGAAGGACACACTTGCAAACGAATTCAATCCACTTTCAATAACAATATGTGATGTAGAAAATATGCCATCAACACCTATATCATATTTTGATTTAAAACAAAGGTTCTAACGCTTTTTTGTTCTTACGTACAAAAAACGTTTTTATTGTACGATTTTTATAAAAAAAAAGATGTGAACCAGTTCACTGTTCCTATCAAATATTTGATCAGCCAGTTCATCGAACCAGTAAAAAGGTACAAGCCCGTCATATTTATTGGAATGATTTAAATTTATATTTAACAAGTACGAATAATCTTTGTATTTACAAATGATTGTTTATTGTTTCATTTTCAAGACTCAGTCAATGATCATATAATGAGAGAATTTCGTAATTCTCCTATTGTTAATATTGAAATTCATGATCGAGATGAACGTGAAAGTAGTCGACGATGCATCGGTAGTGTATTTGGTTCAGAAAATACTGATGAAGTCATTGGAAGAGTTTCTGGTAATTGTGAAATAAAACTTTTGTTTTATTACTTTTTCATACTCATTTTTTCTACTAAATAGGTAAAACAAATCTACTCAAATCAAACAAAAATATTGATTGGCACCCACATGGATGTATTAAATTAGATTTATCAGAACTTTGGCTTGGACAAACATCACTTGAATATTATATTCCAGTTGTTCCATGTCGCGCACCTGAATCAGGTACTGGAAGAATTTCAGTTTCGACCGAAATTTAATCAAATAGAAAATAAATAATTTTAGGGCGTGCCATGAGTGCAAAACGTACATTTTCACAGGAGAATATGCGTATACAACAAGGTGATTTTCTTTCAAGTGGTACTCAAATGAAAATTCTTGTGAAATTAGCAAAATCTCTTGTCCCGCCTGTTAAACAACCATCGTTAGATACTCGACAATTGTCAACAGCATGCATAGTAAAAGTTTTCTTCTGAAAAAAACGAAATAAATTTTTATCTAAATATTATTTTTTTCTTTGTTTACGTTAAGATTTCACCGTTTACTCGAATAGTTTATGTATTTTCCTATGATAATTCAAAATTTTTAACTTCACTTGAAACTTGTATTCGCACAATCAATGCAAGTGCACTTGGCTTTGATAAACATCCAGCACATATTCAAGTCGCTGCTCTTTCAACATATAAATTAACTGAGTAAAATGTTTTTTATTCATTTAGTCTATAAAGAAAATTAAAAAAATGATTTTTTCTTCTTCAAGAGCTCAGCAAACAAGTCACAAATTAAATATAATTACTGGATTTCATCTATTTGATGAGGAACAACATTTGTTTATACTTGAGGGTCAAAAAGAACATGCTATTGATGTACTCTATAAACAATTACCTAGACCACAAGGAAAAAGTAAATGAATATTGATTCTTTTTATTTTGTTTTTTAATTTGATTCGCTGGTTTCTTTAGACGTTGAAATTCTTTATGATTCTTCAATACGTTTTAATGAACGTCTCTATGTGAAATTAGGTTTAGATTTAACACATATTAAATTATGTCGAAGTTTACGTGATATTGTTTCTCAACCATTAATCTTTGTTCGAGATTTTCTAGCTAAAGAAACATTCGAAGCACTTGACAAACTGCATCAAGTTCGTTCATTGTTTCTTTTTTTGGAAACAATTCATATTCAATCAAACTCTTTTATTGTAGCTTGTTCTTGTACATAAATTAAGTTCATCAGCTCGATATAATTTATTTCCAACAATAGAGATGATAACATCATTAAGTCGTGATTTTGGTGTACCATTGACAGAAAAAGAAATTATTTGTAAAAAAAATGAAAAAAAATTCTTTTTAATTGTTTTTGCTTTGCTTTTAGTATTTTCAAGTGATGATCGATCACCATCAGCATCAACAACCCGTGAAAAACGAAATAAACACATAATCGATAGTAGTGATTCAAATAATCCACCAAAACAAGAGCCAGTACCATCACCCGAAGAAATCATACGGCCAGATATTAACTTTTTAGAAAAGAATATCGAACGGATTCGACTTGCTAGTTTAAGAAACAAGTATGAATTAAATTTAAAAAAAAACTCATCTGGCGTCTATTTTATTATCAAATAAGGTCATTCGATTGCAACCATTAATCCTAAAATCATATCTAGAAAAAGTAGTTTTGTTTCTCTAAAACCGATCAAGTAAAAACAAAAGAAAAGCTTCGAGAAATAATTTAGTTATTTTCTTCTAAGAATCTCTCGTAAAGTTTTAGTCAATAAAAAAAAATGAAATCTTTTTGCCGTCGAAATGTTACATATTTTAGATGACTAATGGATCAATTTTACTTATCGACTAGAAATCATCTAATGAATTATTTTATGAGTAATCATCACTTCTCGATGATTTTGTTAATAGTTAAAAAAGTAATTGTATTCTCTTCTGAAGTGTTGTACTATATGAAAAAGAGAAAATCAGAAGAATTAATAAAAATATTCTTGTCTAGGCTATGCAAAATCGTAAATGTAGACCTTCACGTTTTCTTTTTATGTATCAACATGACTGATACTTGATACGTTTCATTGGCAAATATCTAATATTTATATACAGCTTTTTATTTTTAATCTTATTTAGAGAAAATCAGAAAGATGACGATAGTATTGTATTTGTAACATCGGGTCCAATTTATCCATACAGTTCACAACGACTAAATGCAACTGAAAATGCACTTGAACAAATGCGAGCCTATCTTAAAAAGGTTCGATGAAATATACTCAATTTATGTCAATTTCAATAATTTATTTTCTACTAATAGAATCATAGTTCATCATCATGCTCATTTCATCCCGAATATCAATCTGGTACATTTTCTCCATATTCCAATTGTGAAACACCTCTTGATTATCTTCAAACGCTTCGTTCACCATCAGACTTAAGTTTAATAACAAAAGATAAACCAGCTGATAGAACAATGTCAGACTGGCTCCATCATCCAGGTCCTCGTTCGAGTCGTCAATCTAATATTCATCCAAAACTACCAGATCAAGCTCGGCTTGATGAACTTTCTAAAGTAGATTAAATATATTAAATAAATTTTATTTATAAAGCCTACTTTTCAGCCACCTGACGAATGGTATGAACGAAATTCATATAATCGTCAATCACCTAGTGGCACACGGGAACCATTTAAGTGGATTAGTCGTAAGGATGATTTTGATCGATGGACACGTGCAATGCCAGTAACTCAACAGGTTTCTGCTCATTGGCACTCACCCAATGACAAAAATAGACTTTTATCACCATCTTCAAGAGCAGCAATGATAGTTGCCAATGAACGTATGAAGTTTTTACGTCGATCCCCTCAAACAGAAATGTCCTCAGCTGGAAGATTATCTGCTACGCAATTAGATCGTTTAACTGGAATACTTAAAGATAAACCAGTAAAAAAAGGATTGCTACTACCAAAATATTATGCTAGGTAAATTATCGTATGTTTTATTATTTGATAGAGAAAAAAATTATATTCAGTGTAAATATATAGAAACAATTAAAGAAATTGATTTATTGAATTTAGGAATGTAAAATTGAATTCAACTAAGTCATAAGAAAAAGTAGGCATTGAAACAATAAAAAAAAAACAAAGAAATTGTAACCACTCTACGCGTTTTTGTCCTTCTTCGTCGTGTTCTATCATTTGCATGAATAATATTGATTTTGTAACAAAATAATTATCATTGATTTTCTTTCTAGAAAAAATGGAGCTCAATCAGCACCATTACAACACACACGATCATTCACTAGTACTCCAGATCGGCGTGTCCGTTCAACAACAACTGTTGCATTTAGAAAATACCGAAAATAATTTACCTGCTTTAATATTGTTCTGTTTGTTTTGAATAGTATTTTTTTTTAGTTGTAAAATAAAGACGAACTACTTTCAATCAATGATATGTCAACACGATTTTCGTTAATTGCTATTCAAAACGAAATGCGTATAGACAATCAATTGATCTTTGAGCAAGTTAGCATTCTATGATTGTTTCTAGTCCCAACTTGATGCAAGTTTACCTATGCATGCAATACGATTTTTCTGTCATGTCAATTGAAGAAATAATTTCTTTCATCTCCTTTCCAAAAAAAAAAACTGGAGTTTTCCTTTCTCCACTCGCTATTCTAATTACTTGCATAACCAGTAGGTTACGAGATGAATAACGAGCTGTTGTTATTTCGCTCATTAATCACTAAACATCTTGATAATTTCTTTCTGTTCTATTTACTCGTATGCAATATTTCTCATAATCCTATGTTACTACATAACAAAATGTAGCCATTCAAATTGATTATTTCATCTTCATTATAATCGTTTTTTCTCTTTCTATCTTCTACTCTTTTTTGAAAAACTTACTCACGAAATCGACAGTACTCTAGAGAACGAACACACTACTTTTGATACCAAGCAATGCATGTAATCGGTTGGATGATTAGTTCTAATCGAAGAATGTGGATGGCAAATGACACAATTCACCTATAATTTTATTGATGAAAACTGAGAAAGAAAAGAGAAAGGCAGACAGTTCAGTGACAACCCAGGTGTCAGCATATCGTAAGTCTGCAAATAATAGAACAGATGTTAACCAGATGATAAATGACACGTAAGTTTCTAGTTTGAGATCAGAGCAAAAAAGAGAGACAGAGAAAGAATAAATCTGAAAAGATTTATTTCATGTCAGCTGTGCTTGCTGAATGAATTCGATGCTTTCCTTTTTTTTTTTGTTGAGTCTGATTTATTTATTTTTTCTATTAGAATCGTAGTTGCTGAGAGAAAAAAATAAAAGGAAAAACTCTATCATCATTTTCTCATTTGAAGACAATATTAAAATATTTCTGTTCTTTAACAGAGCACTAAGTTGGTTATAATGATGTTTTAATGCGTTTCTATGTTCTGATTAGTGAGGTTGATCACATTTATATGATGAAACGAGTCAAGAGTGGTATTCAATATTCTACTTAAATGACTTTTAACGATTATGATGCTGTTTCATTTTGATTTTGTACATAATCATTGAAAACAAAAAAAAAATCAATTGCTGTTGTAAAGAATAACTAAAAGTAGAAAGAAAAACGTACTCCTCTCATTTGAAATTCAAAAAAGGAGAAACACCAGCTGTAGTCAATTTTAACTGACGGATTTAATCAGGAATAAAATTATTTCAAAAGAAATTAAACTGCGGGATGTCTTTTTCTATTACAAAAAAAAACGTTTATCATTTTTCTGCTCATTCATATATCTAATTGAATTTCTCTTTCATATTTGAAAGAGAAGAAACGTGAAATGATAGTACTTTAAAGAGAAAATATTTAGTTGAATTACGAGTATAATATCACATATTAAATAAAATTTAAAATTCTTCGATTTCTCTTATTTCTTTTTCTAATTGCTTCATATAATTGACCTTTTATTTCTTTTATGACACTTAATCACGTTTCAAGGTTGCAGTCTCTATTCTTTTCATATACCGGCTCTATTAATTACGTAGAAGCAGTAGGAAAAACTTGAGAAGAACAATAGAAAAAATGGTATCAAGGCGAGGATAGAAATGTAAATCTATTCAATAGTCTATCGAATAGTATTTGACTGACATAGAATGCGCAAGGCCAATCCTTTAGAGGAAATAATAAAGTTTTTAATTAGTATTATTTGATTCTTGTTCTCTGTTTTCCTCCAACTTCATAGGTGGCCTGTCCAACTAGTAATGTTTCTTTTAGCTAGAGTTTAATTATTCTCGACACCACTCTACTTAAAAAAGTTTCAACTTTAACTAATCTGACCGTACATTACACAGTCAAAATTTTAAGTAATTAGTTCATTTTACTAGCGAAAAAGGATCAATTGAAAATGAATGTATAGAAACTGGAGTTCTTGTGTTGTTCACTAATATTGATGTTTTCTACTTGATATTCATGTAAATGTTTATCGGAAATTCAAAAATAATTAATTTTTTAAAGGAGATATTACTAATTTCACAGTAAGTTCGAGAGATATAGCTACTGTTTATCAGATTGTTCAGCCAGTTATTTAATCTTAACAATTAGTCGAGTCCTGATTGTGATCGTAAAATAATATATATACGATCGTTTTTTTTTGCGAAGACATCGTGATTTTAAACTTGAAAAGTACATATGTAAACTTTTTTAAAAGTAGAACAAAACTAAAGATTAAACACACAGAATGGGAAGCCCAATTTTGGTAGCAGAAGAAAACAATAAGGAAGTTCAATTATTTGCTTTGATTCATTAAAAATTGCTTAACGAAATTAAAATTAGCTTAAGCAGAATTAGACATGAATTATGTGTAATCAGCAAAGTATTTATTATTAAGATAATGATCAATAAAAATCAAAAGACAATAAGCTAATTTTTGAGTATCGAATACAGAGTGATACATTAGTGTTTTAAGTTTGATTCAAATATTTTCATTTCAATAGGTATAAAATATATGAGAACTGTATAGAAACAATGCATTTCTATTATTTTCCTGAGCAGCCTTTTGGCTGCGAAAATTAATTATTATCTCTTTTAGCTCTGGGGTACTATCCGTATTAGTGTCTAGTAGGCCATCTTTAAGGTTTCGTTAAAAAATCATAAATGAAATTAGGCACAAAAACTGCAAAAATACTATATGAATACAGCGAAAATATCTTTGATTTATCCTTTGCATAAATCAACCATTTGGTAGACATGAAACAAATGCTTGATAGTTATATCATCATTTTTCAATATTTTTAAATAATAATCATGATTTATAGACGACTTATTAGATGATTGATAGATTATTATTTGTGTAAAACATTCGTATAAAATAAATAATAAATATGAACGTATGATATAGTTTTTACATGGTAACTTATGTGCTTTATATATACATATATATATTGACGAATATGATTTGCCATTCCTATGCATAGAAAGCTCTAAATCATCCGATTGAGACTAATAACTATGTTCGGTTAAAATGAAAAATAATGCCACACACTAATTCCTAAGCTTTTCTAATAGTATAGAAGAGAATTCTTAATATATCATGCATGATGAACTTTTTTTATCATGAAATAGATCTTAATATTTTAACGTTTCTATTGTTTGATTAATCAAAAAATAATACACTAGTTCGTTTAATATGTTCAAACAGAAGCCATTTGAATTTTAGAATTTAGTAGTTTTCTCGGATCATATATGTGATTACGATTGCATCAACTTAGTACATTTAAAAAGTACTTGATAAAAAGGTTTCAAATGATCATGAAAATAATTGTAAATGTAAGCTGTGAATTAAACAAGCTAAGTCAATCACTTTGACATCTTGTTAACAAATATCGAATGCAAATGAATACGCTTAAATCAGATTGATTTTGAGCAGTTAGTAATATGAGAAATTTGAATATATATATATATATTGTTAAAAGATATAACTCAATACTTTTCGATCATGATATCAATTTGAAATAAAGTACAAGTATATTCAAATATCACAGATAATTACAATTTCACAGTTGCCATATACTTGTGTACAAAAGAAAAATTGTCTGCCAAACAAATTCAATAAATCTGAAATCTACATAAACTATTACATAGTTTGAATTATGTTATTATCATGTCTTAAAGAGACACACGAGATATTGTTTTGGTTGCTCTAAAGCTTCATAAAGTAAGCTTTAAATATGATACGATTTTTAACTAATGAAATTATAAAGAGTTAATCTTTCCAAATGAGTACCATACTTCCAGTCGAAATCGTTCTCTTTGTATACTATTTAAATTGGATATACATCATGAAAATACTATTTTTACTTGTATGTAAATGCTATGTAAATTCTCGACTCCATAATGAATATTCAAACATCAAGATGTCGAATCTATTCAAGAAAATTGTTTAAAAATACAAAGCATTAAGCAAACATTTTCTTTTGATTGAAATTAATTCTCAATTTTGTCTTTATCGAAAGTTATTAATGTCATAGAACTGAAGGAAATTTGATGACATTGTGAGCTTAAAAACATTTACATTGCGAAGGTTTAGGTGAATATTTATAGACGATTGACAAAAACATCAATATTATCAAAAAAAAAATTATTTGAATTGTTTTTTCTAAATAATTTATTAAAACTTGAATAGTAGATAATGAATAATACTCGAAAATCCAAAATCCAACTTCAAATAAAAAAAACCCAAAGAAGTTCATTCATCACAACTAGAAATATGTTGATAGAAGAAAAAAACGACAAAATAAAAGATCGTTAGAACTATTCTAATGTAATTTGTTTAATATAAAAATGATATCGAAAGAAATGAATTTCGGACAAGTTTTTTTTCTGTTACTGCTAGCAAGTATGCTGATTATTCAGGACAAATATCTTCATTGATAACCTATATGATTTGTGAAAACGTCAAATGTCAACAATTTCAAATTTATTTCATAGATACCGTGATCAATGAGAGTTGAACATTTTATATTCAATTTACGAAGAATGATGCAAAGTGTTTTCATATAAAACTAATCCACCTTCGTTGTTTTGTAATTTGCTTATCGTAAAACGAGTCGCATGTCATATGAAACTTAACTTAACCTTGTTCTGTTGCTATTGACTCTCCAGAAGTAAAGACGAAAAAAACCCTTATACATCAATTATTAATCAAACATACGAATTAAATATTGAGAATGTCGCCGTTGCATATTTTCGTTCGCATGTGCAGGCTTGGCTCAAGTATCAAAATCAATTACAAAATTCTCTATCGTATAAATTAATAGAAAGAACTGTTTCGTTCCCAGTAACAGAAAAATCGCTAAGGAATGAAGCGTCAACAAAAAGTATAAGTCAATTATTATTTTGAAATTGTCAATTTAGAATCAAAACAAAAAAAAAGCTGTAAATCAAATATTACCAATCAACAACAATTCTCAATGAAAACATAAAAGTGCAACTTGAATGAAATAATCTTTGAAATAAACTAATCGCTTTCTTTTTTTCAATAGATCTATTTTTAAACCAAATTTCGCGCCATAGATACAACTTAATTGAGTGTGGAGGCAAGAATTCATAATGCTATAAATAAAATTCTATTTGTAACTTCCAGTCAATATGCATGTTTCCTTTGGAAGAAGAAAAACTATAATTTTCTATATACCACTTCACTTATTTTTCCACCATTGTGCACATTATTATTTGAACAAGACATTTTTCATGATTTTAAATAAATACTTTGTTTTTTATTCTGTTCAATGTCATGAAACTAAACATTAAAAAAATGAAGCATTCATAATTATGATAAATTTTCTATATAAAACTATGCTAGTCAGTTTATTACGCGAGTGATTTATCATCTTCGATTTTCGTGTATATAATTATCGCTTTTCTTTCTCCTCTGTTTAATAGTATATCACACTCTCTCTTTATATATAAATGTAATTCACAACTAAAAAGTAACATATATATATATATATATGATCTAGTATATAAACCAGACACTTTGTCAAGGTTGTCTTATTCAAACCAAGGCGATGAGTGTATGTGCGGCGCATGTTTAGTTCATTATCATAGCTCGTCACGAACAGGTAATCTCCGCCTGTTCTATTTCCGATATAGAAAAGATGTCAGTAACCTTGAGAATAAGCAGGAAAGAGAAAAATTCTTTTTTTTCACTCATTTCTTTTTTATATCAACAACAACGTCAATTTCAATTAATGCTAATAGCATCTTGTTGTTTTTTGTATTTGCACCGTTTGCTTATTTTTCGAGAGTCAAATACTATAGATTCCACAATAAGATATTCATATGTTAATGATAAAAAACGAAAAGAGAAAACAACAACGCATCAGTTCCATAAAATATGTTCAAAATGTGATAGTCGTCTGCAAAATCTGCCCTCTGGCATTCAATCTTCCGTGTACAAGCATATATTGACGCAGAAAGCTTGAAGGTCATTGTCGCACGCTCTAAATGTGAAAGAGAGAAGAAAAAAAAAGTTGAGCATGCCGTTCGAGATGTTGGTGATACAGAGAAGAGAGATGTATTAGATATAAAAATCCTATTATTTTCTCTTATTCTGTTTCTCTTTTCATATATATATATATATTCATCTTACACTTAGTCAAGATGATGATTGAAAGATCAAATTATACTATTAGTCCTCAAATAGTTCAAGGTATGATGACTATTAGTTTGAAAAAAACGATCAGAACTATATCATATTCCGATAAGATAAATATTAAAAGAGTTTTCTATTCTCTTGAGAGAATGAGAAAATATGTTATTGAATATTAATAGCGTGATTGTTATTTGTTGTGTAAGATAGATTTACCAGTGTTACGATTAGTCTAGTTAAATTAATATCGAAGAGAAAAAAAGAATGAGTGAAATATGAACAATTCTTTAACAATTATCTCTAAGTAGTAACGAAGCTTTGACCCTTCGATCATAAAAACAATACACTATGATGTAGGCAGATATACCTGGTACATACATCAATCGAAACCATATGGGAGTATTAGCAAGAAAAACGATCGACCCCACTACATGACAATATATTCTGTTTTTTTTTTCATAAGAAGAGATTAGCTGATATATTGTCATCTGCATAGAAATAAGTGCAATATATCGTCATGCTGCCAGACATTTGGGACTATTCTCAGAATATATCCATTTAAGTATCGTATGTACTATTTTCGTACGAGAATTCATAGATGCTTGTCCTAGGTTGAAGAACATTCTGATTGTGTGGATATTTATGTCTCAATGACTAATGAAAATCTTTTTTTGTTGTTCCAAGTATATTCTCTTGTTAGACGAAAGAATAAAACAGTAAAAGTCGATTGTGTTGTTTTGCTGCTTTTGATCCTTATTTTTATTATTTTCTTTTTTCCAAATCCTAGAAATATTGTTAGCAATAGAAGAAAATAGTGATCTGAAAATAGAAATGCCCAAGTGAAGAGAAAAACTACACGATTATGGGCCTTTCTCTTCTTTTTTTTCTTGTATTTTAGTTTTTTTTATAGATTCTTGACATTTTTTCCTTTGTGGTCTTGCTTCTTTTTTTTGTCTACAAAATATTTTGATTGAAAAAAAAAAGAGAGAAGAAAGCAAGAGAGAAAGAGACATACTTACATACATACACAGCTGATTACTTATTATATGCGGTCTCTATGTGGTTTGAAGCCTCAAGAACGATTTTACATTCTCAAAAAAAAAGAAATCAAATAAGAAAGAAATGAAGAATTTTATGTTAAAAACGACTTTTAGAAAACGTTGAAAAATACTATTTAGGTAAGTAATGTTTATAGTTATGCTATACAAATAAAATGGAAAAACTTATCTGTTTGTGCTCGAGAATATAGAAGCTCTGTTTTCTTTCTTGATTGATGAGTACTATTTTACATATTGATCCACTTGAAAAAACGAAGAGACTCATTGCTCCGACTCTCGTTCAAGTAGATGGATTATGTGGTGACGTTGTTCTTTTATTATTTTTCTTTTCCTTTTTTTCGCTCTGTATTTTACATGTCTTCTCATTTTCCATTCACTTGAGTTATTGGATGTTACCTTGAAAAACATAAGTTTTCATATACATTTATAGTCTATATCATTTACTTCTCTCAATCTATCAACTATTTAGTGTATCGACTGATTTGAATATTATTATTGAGAAGCGTTTTCAATCAAATAAACTAGAACGCAAGCTGCTATCTATATACGCTCTGTCTACTTTAAATGTATCTGTATGAGTGTTACTTCAAGGCGATGATTAGAATGTTGACATGAAATACTTTTCTTTCTTTTTGTTGTTGTTGTTGCTGTATTCGGACTCGAGAAATATTCCAATTTTTTTATAGAAACAGTGTTGTTATCATCAACATTAAACAATGTATAATTATACAATTCTTGCTATGACTTCTATGTTCTTGATATATTTTTCTCTCTCATTTGACACTAACAAACTCAAGTACAACAATAGTATATGGAGTTTTCAATGTTTAGATAGAAATCATTCGTGATTGATACATTGTCGAACGACATTATCATCATTACAAGAGTCTGGCTTCATCACTGATTTGTGTTTCAATGTAAGTCAATTAATTCAAGAAACTATAATAAATAATGAACAACATGTACTATTTTGTTTTCCCCATAGATCTTCGTCGTGTCGTGTGTCTTATCTGGTGTTTGTCTTACTTTTATTACTGGTATCGGGGCCTAAGCACCAATGCTTAGGCCTCGTTCCAATGCCACCAGACGGTAATAGTAATACAGAATGTCGTCCTGCTGATATTCGACTGTACACATGGTCAGGGCCCGGCTTTGAATCAGGTGAATGTTGGTACCAAGGACATCGTTTTGTAAATGGCGCTACCTGGGGCCGAACAGATATATCAGATGCTCCTTATTGTGTTTGTGAGCAAGGCAACATTCGCATTTTCTATAGTCAAGTAGCACCGAAGAAACCTGCGAGTGCTGATGCATTGACTTTATTTCGAAATACTTATAGTTCAGCACCGACATCCAATGATTTAGCTAAATGGCCTATTCCGAATATACCCATCGTACGACAGCGGGTTATGATTTGTTCGATAACGCAAATTGGCGTACGTGTTCGATCGAGAGACGGATGTATTGGTTGTAAATGCTCGAAAGGTGGACATTGGCTGTGTAGACGACCACCATCATTAAAAAAAAATCGAAGCAGAAATATTAGACAAAGAACTAGTCAACAACGAATACAAACACCGAGGTAGTCATTTTATATTATTATCAGTTCATAAAAAAACTTGTTTTGACAAGAAAACGGATATGAGTACGTGACTAGAAATCTATTTCGTGACTTCCGATAAAAAGCGAAAGTAAATAAATATTTCTCGATTGAATGCAGCATAATTAACTAAATATTGATTGAATATACACTTATTTCTCATGTTTCTTTTTTTTCTGTTTAATTATGTTATAGAAATCTTCGTTATCCATACACGGATTCATCAGATTCAGTGAATGTTCAACTTCGTGTATCTAATTTGCGCGTTCGACAACAATGTCCCATAGGTACGGCACCTCAATTTTGCATATTAATTGAACGTTTATCATCATCATCAAATACTAGCGAAAAAGCTAGTCGTTATATGGAAATTCCTCGTGAAACATCATGGGTTGATCGTGATACATGCACTCGATGTGCGTGTACATTAGATGGACGTTTAACATGTGAATATCTTCATGCAACATGTAATCGTCCTTGTCTCATACAAAAAACACGTCCCATTTCAGTGATGTATTATTTCCCGTCAGGATCCAAATGGTTGACACCACCGAATGATAAATGTCGTTCATGTACATGTGTTGATGGACAAAGACGATGTATTAATTGTGATCAAGTTCTTCAGATTGATATCAATGCTAGTAGATTTTTAAAGAATAAAAATCAACAACAACAATCTGGCATTGGTGAATATAGTTTATTACCGTCGACGCAAGAAGCAGAGAAGACTAAACCATGTTTAATTAAAACTACTGTTAGTTCTCATCGATTAATTTTACCAGGACAAAAAACATGGTTTGAAAATCGTTGCTATTTCTGTTCGAAAAACGATGGCCGATTAATTCCCTGTTGATCAATATTATTACCAAGTTGAATTTTGTATTCATTTGTCAATAATATAAGACAGCTGACTTTGTCATATGAATATCTTTCTATTGTTTTCTTTTTTCTCATTAGTTCTTGTTTATTAGTTTAGTATATGTATATGTTTTTCTTCTATATATAATGTATCGTAAAAGTAAACAAGATGAAATTTACAATTATTAATAATGAGAACAAATTGTACGATAAATAATCTCATGGTTTTATGCGTGCAAAAATTTATCAATAGAATAGGAAAACCTACACTATGAAAAATAGATTTAATTACGAACGAACAAAAACATAGAAGACTATGATTTCAATCAGCACGTATTCATCGACGAGCGTATTTTTTTATGTGTTTTTCATTTTGCTTAAGGCGTTGATAGAAAATATATTTCAGAATAAATACAGCAACAGATCTACTGTCATCAACGATCAAAATTTTGAATATTATATGATGATCAAAATTATTTTACCTAGATTTCATTCGATTTATAGATTCATTTCTATTATCAGCAATATTCATATAAGAACGTAATATATATTAAAAACGTATATTTTAACTTCGTCGGAAGTTAAAATTCAGAAAACATAAATAAACTGACTTTTGTTGGGAAATAGTGAACGAACTGTGTGTCATAAGAAAGTGTAATTGGACTAGCTTTTCGATTTGAAACCTTCATCTAGCATTTTTTTTGTCAATTTCATTAAACGGTTCTTCTACAAAAACATCGAAATCCCATTGAATCTATTGTAGAAATGGTGCTTCTTCGAGAAAAATTCAGTACGAAATTTATTTTTCATAATAAAGACTTGTAAAAGAAAACACTTATTTTTATATTTTTAATTGTTAACTTAGATTCACAGAATAGAACATATATTTCAAGTAAAAAATTGTAAATCTGAATAATCAATGTACCCTTGAAACCTAATGAATTTTTCATTTTTTACTTATGAACCTAGACGATTCTGCTGAATGACAAGAATCTGATATAGCACGATGGTCTACAAAATATGAGCTTCTATATATTCTCTCAAATTGTCTAGATTTGAGAGAGCCTAATTACATTTTTGTCAAACTGCTTAGTATTGCATTATCTATAGAATAGTTATCACATAAATGCAGCAATATTGTGAGTGCATAAACTTCCAAAAGCAAAAAATCAATTGATCAGCACTCATATGCTCTCAACGAATGGAAAAATTATAAAGTAAACAATGATATTATAATCTGTTATATTTTAACTAAATCGATAAAAACCAACTTGCATTCCTATAATTCAATAACTTAATCCTATAGGTTATATACTGATACATTCATCTATCAATTTGCATGTATACGCATTAGACTTTATCGTCACATCTTTAAAATACGGCCCATTTCATTAGGTCTATGTACTTCGAACTATTCTTTATTCGTAACTCCATACTGTTCCCCCTGCATAATTACAACGAACGCATCGATATTGTGAATTAATAAGCTCAATAACATCCGATATGTCTTTCAATATTTTGTTAGCATAGGATATGAAATTAACAATCGATTGTTTGTCACACTCTTGTGATAATAGAGTCAAGTTTGGTTCGTTTTGATCGAAGCATGCATAGCAAGATTTGTGAACATTGAAAAGCTAAAATTTATTGTCTTATAATTCTATGAATATTATTGCAAAATCGCTAAATGTGCAGAATAAATAATTATCGTATATATGCAATATAACAAGGTTTCTATTACTTATAGACGATCTTACCATTTGATCTGTGTGTATGATGGGTTATATATACGTATATGACAATAAATCTCCCCGCTCCCCACAATAAAAGACCCCGGGTCTTCTATTATGATGCAGCGTACAAATTTTCCAGAGGGGTTTTGTACTAAAAAGCGCATTTTTTCCTAATATTTAATTTAAAAGGTTTTCCAGAAAACTAAGGCGATTTTCAGGATTTCCATCAGGATTTTCAGGGTTTTAAGGGTGTCATTATAATTGTGAACACATTCTCGTAATATTTCCA